CACGTGGCTGGCTGGCTGCGCTGGGGGCCAGTAGGAGAAATGTGGTTGCTTGGCCTTCCAGGGTGCAGGGCTGGGGCTGTGCAGCTGCTCAGTGCTGAGGGCAGAGGTGCTAGCCAGGGGCTGGGACTAGCGATCACAATGGGTGCTGGGCTCCAGTGGGCAGGAATTGGCCTTCCAGGGTGCAGGGCTGGGGCTGTGCAGCTGCTCAGTGCTGAGGGCAGAGGTGCTAGCCAGGGGCTGGGACTAGCGATCACAATGGGTGCTGGGCTCCAGTGGGCAGGAAAGGGGCAGGGTCCGGGGGAGAGGTCTCCCTAAGCCAGCCGTTCCTCGCTGCCCAAGAAGGGCCCGCTGTTGACTCTCACCCCTGTGATCCCCCCGTCCTCTTCCACACAACTGCCACTTCGCCAGCTGGGCCCATGGGATTCTCCCATCCTTGCGGTGCTGAACCTCATTTCTTTTGGCCCAATCCTCCAATTTGGCTAGGTCCCTGGGGACCCTGTCTAGCCCTATCCTCCAGTGCATCTCCTCCTCCCGCAAACGTGCTGCGGGAGCAGTCTGTCCCATTTTCCCATCGTTGATGAAGAGGTAGAACACTGCGAGATCAGGAAAACCAGGGGGCTGGTGTGAACTGGGAAATAGAGAGCTGCTAGCCCCGTGTTCATAGGCACCGACGGGAGAGGAAAGCAAACGTGCCACGGGGTGCTTTGTCTTGTTGGCTACATGCAGAAGTCGCTGAGGAAAACAAGCAGCTGGTGAAGATGGGACAGAATAGCAACATGCGTGATGCCTTCAGGCCGACAGAGCCGTGTCCTGCAGTCCCACATGCACTGCGGTGTGGGCCGTGGCCCCACAAAGGTGCCACCGGCGGACCAGCCTCACGCGCTCCAGCAAAGTAAACCCGACTCCAACCTGTCTCTGCTGCGCAGCTGCTTGCCACAGCCACTTTAGAGGCTCTCTGCTGCTTAATGATTCTGTGATTGCCACCATAATAGTCTGTGTTTTATGACAAAGCAGGTCGAGTGTGGAACACGGGCTTTGGGCAGGCTGCCCTCGCTGAAGAGGGCACACCCGCATTGGCTCTCCAAAGGGCCAAGAAAAGGAGCAGATTACAGACACGGAGACCAGCAGTAGCATTAAGCTGCTGTGAAGCTGGAGCACACCGTCGAAGTAGGTCTTGTTACTGCACGCGCAGCAGCAGCAACGAGGCATTTTGCAAAGTGACAGGAGCGCACAGCCGCAGCAAACAGTTGTCTGTCTGTCCGTGTGTTTCCCTGCTGAAACGTGTAG